AATAAGCCTTACCAGCACAAAGTTGGTAAGGCTTTTTTGTGTTGTGTGTGATTAGAGTGTGACTTATCGCGTTGCCTCGTAAGCCATAATACCCATGCCAACGATAGCTAATATTCCTACCGTCAACGATAGTTTTTCGTCTTGGTGAGTTTGTAGTTTCGTGGGCTCCTGGGTTAAAACTGTAGGTGAGGGTGTTGGTGTTGGTGCTGGTGTTGGTGCTGGTGTTGGTGCTGGTGTTGGTGATACAACATCGTTCGTCATAGGCTCTGGGGGTGTTGGTGGCGCGACGTCATCGGTGTCATCAAAAGAGTCGTCCGGTTGAGGTTGTGAGTTTAAATCTGGCACCAAACCAGTGTTCATACTCTGGGTAGCGATTTGAAGATTGTTGTTATAGCCGTCGTGCGTTCCAACCCTCAAGTTCATATCCGATGGAATTAAATACAACCCCGGTTTCACGACAAAATTTAAAGGCGTTCTGGCATACTGCAAAGAGTCTTGAAATTGATCGATACTCGTTTCCATGTCGTCTACTGCATTGATGATATCTTCAACGATGACGTTAAATTGTCTCTGAGCGTTTAATCCGGTGCCCGGTGTTAATACGCTCGTTTTTGTTTGAGCCTGCGCACCGAGTAAAGCGTACACGTAAGATCTGATCGATTCGTTGATCTTTATGATTCCCGCGGGGGTAAACGAACTTTTGTCGGGTATAAAATCTAACCAAGCCTTTTGTACCGATTCATTTTGTTCGATGTAAATAACCGTCCAAGGAACGTAACTGCTTCCACTCTTTTTAGGACTGTCTAGACCGTGATAGCCGCCGTAAATAACGTTGGGTTTGTCGGGTAATGCTCTATCGTATTCGCCAACCGCCAAAAACTTGCCCTTATTAAAGCTGTACGAGGTACCCAAACCGTTAGATTTTGTGTCTCTCGTCTGTTTAAAAGACTTGTTTTGATCTATGCCAAACAACAAACAGGTATCGGTAAATGCTCTGTGATTATAACTGTTGTCTAGAGCGTTAAATGCGTCATCTCCCGGTAAAGGAGCGGCAAAGTCGTACAGGATCTTTCTAACCGTAAAATATAAATGAAAGTTAAAGATGGCCCAAACGTAACGGTTGCTCGCGTTTAAAAGATCGAATCCAACACCGCACCCCGTAGTAGCGCAGTAGATCGCAAAATTTAACTGATTTTGATAAAACGACATGGGGTGTGATTTCCAACGATCTACATCTTCGTCCGTCTCAACGTGAGGCAATTTATAGTCCGAGGTTAAGTCGGGAAACGAGCTTAAAAACCCGTTGATATTATTAACTATGACCTCCAGTTCACTGGGTTAAGTACTGTTTAAAAACTTTGCTTGGGGTGCAGCTTGATGCTTTAGCTCGTTTGCCTTGGCTACATTTTGATTTACTTGTTTCGTTACCTGATCGGCTATAGCTAGTATCTGCTTTTTTAACGACTTAAAATCACTCATTATTTTAGTTTCAGTTTTAATATAAAAAGACTTTAAAATAAATGCATTCGTTTCACTTGTTTCAAAATGAGCAGACGTTTAAATTAGAAGACGTTGAAAATAATCTAAACGGCCAAAAATCTGTACGCGTAAAAAGGGTGATGTTTAACCCCGGATATTTTAATATTTCCAGCGCCACGGAGATTGATTGGTATACGCAAATAGATGGGAGACCAGCTGAAAGACCTGATGATGGTAGAAGATACGAACAGGTTGACTCAGATATAGCAGTAAGAACAGATAGAGATTTTATTTACTCGTTGCTACCTGGGATAAACTACGACTATTTATTTAACGACGAAAATACTTTCAATAGAGTTATAAACGATCTTATAGAAGCGTACGAAGAAGATAGACTAGCTGTAATAGCGGTCAGAACGGAAATGGGGCATATAAGAAGATTACAAGAAACTTTAAACAATAAAAGACAAGACAAAACACTAACTGACGTACAACGCAATACGATTATATTTATAATAACAACTTTATCTGAAAAAGTAGGCTTCATCGTAGAAGGTAGAAAGATAGCGCTAGAATATATCGAAGGTACAATAAGCGAACCTAGAGCGACAGTAATTAGACAGGCGGGTGTGACAATACGGGGGAGTCTTGTCGTGTCTGGTGATAATTTAGATTTCATTTCTCCGAGTCTTTTAGCGCCGTTACCAGCCGGAGTCACCGGTTCGGTCACCATACCACCGGGTCGGTACGACGTCGATCGGTTCGATTTCATTTTAAATTATATACCCGGTGTAAGTTTTCGAATAATTAGAGAATCTAAAAAGGTGACGTTGGTGGTAACCGACGTAAATCTCAAATTGCGCTTAAACAGAGAAGTATCTCGATTACTCAATTTACCCAAAGGAAGACTGATACCCAAAGTGGTGTATGCGGGGCCTTACGACGTTAATCCGTTTAAATTTTTGTTTATTCGCTGCCCGCAATTAAGTACGAGTGAAAACTTTTTTGATGGCCGACCGTCTGACATCTTAAAAATCATATCCGTGGGTACGCGCGAACCCGAGCCTGATAGAGTCGAGGATTTCAAAAAACTTAAAAACGGTATAATCGACAAACTGACATTTTCAATCATAGGTGAAAAAGGACAGATCATCAACAACAAGGGTGTGAGTATCATGATAGAGTTGGAGATCTTTTAATTTTAAAATCTTTTTATGTTAAAAACATGAGTGTAGATGGTAAGGCGTTATACCCCGATATTTCTGGAGATGTACTCCGATTAAATAGTAACGAAGAAATAAAAGTGTACAGACTTAAAAAGATTGAAGAGATTCGATCTTTAATCTTGAAAGAGAGAGACCACCGAGAGCACACTTATACAAAAATAAAGAGAGTGATCGACACTATTAATTACGTAGAGATAGGATTAGAAGGATTGGGGGCTATAGCGGGGGCTGTCGGTATTCCCGCTCTATTGGGTATTATATCAGCCCCCGTTGGATTGGTGCTAGAAGGAACGTTTATAGGCGCTTTTGGTGTAGATGTTCTGCTTAAAATCGCGTCTAAGCGATTATCCGCCAAGCTAAAAAAGCACGACCAGATTAAGATATTAGCAGACACCAAACTTAACACGATTGAAGAATACGTGTCTCAAGCCATCAACGACGGAGATATATCGCACGAAGAGTTCTTATTGATTACGAGAGAGCTCGCAAAATTTAACGAGCTTAAGCAGAAAATTAGAACAGAAACCAGCACAAAGATTCAAAAAATTAAAAACGATACAGACTTTGAAAAAGAAGTTAAAAAACGGGTAGACGAACGGCTGGCAAAAGAAGAAAAATCTCTTATCGAAAAACTTACAAGTTCAAATTCTCGGTTTCTAAACATTATGAAAGCGATCCGTCGAGTTATACCTCTATTTCACCTCTTAGGGCTACGCCCTCGGCCCCGCCTTTATTGTAGTGGTCATCGTATTTTTTTAGTGCCTTATTAAATTGATTTTGAGTCACTTTAAATAAATCTCTAACTCGTTCTTTGTCTAATCCAACGACGTGATGAAAACTCGCGGCTATTAACGAGCGTTTGACGCAACCATTTCCCCTCAATGTTTTGTAATTAACGAGCTCGTTATATTTATTGATTGTTTCTTGGACATCTTCTGAGTCTTGCTCTGGACACACCGACAAAATAAGTTTCTCATCAGTTTTTCTTTTGTTTCTTTTTAAACTTGACCAATTGATACGATCTTCTTGCGCATTTTCTGCCGAAAAATCAAAGTAACGCGAGACTATTTCACCGCACGTTTCACAAACTAAATAACCATTCTCGATGATTATATGGTGATCGCACTTATCCCCAAGTTGTGGCGTCTCAAAGTACATCTATTTAATAAAATTAAATAAAAATGATTGCATTTTTAAATAAATAAAATATCGCCCTCTGTTTTTTTTATTGAACAGCACCTATCTTTATAAAATTAAAATCAGATCTCTTAGCGACTATAAATAGCACCCCTTATCATAAAAATTAAAAACCGCCCTCTGTTTATAATTGCTATCCCTCACACCCATAAATGGCGCCCTCTATAGGATAAACAATACTCAGACACAAACCAAAAAAACCTTAAAGAAACAAATTATATTTACAACCATTTATTTATACAAAATTTTACTAAGATTTACAAACAATGATAAACTTTAAAACAACAATATCAAAGTCTTTTTAAAAAGCATTCACGTTGCTAGGCACCACACTTAATAGATCATAGACTCTGATTGTTAAATGGTCATACTAGGACCGAATACAAAAGAATACTTTTGATGATTCATATAACGATCAGCCTTTTACCAAAAACCACACTCCATTGTTAAATGGTCATACTAGGACCAAATACAAAAGAATACTTGTCATGTAAACTACTTTGATGATTCATATAACGATCAGCCTTTTACCAAGAACCACACTCCATTGTTAAATGGTCATACTAGGACCGAATACAAAAGAATACCTGTCATGTAAACTACTTTGATGATTCATATAACGATCAGCCTTTTACCAAGAACCACACTCCATTGTTAAATGGTCATACTAGGACCAAATACAAAAGAATACTTGTCATGTAAACTACTTTGATGATTCATATAACGATCAGCCTTATCGTGACAACCAGTGCCTTTGTACACATTTTGTACCCGATGGGTTATAAACAAAACCATATCGACTAACGTCATGACAAAGCAATGTATAATCAGGTAGTCCTATATGTACTTTGTTTCCAAATATTGGCGATATGTGAGACTTGCAACATAAGTTTAATTTCTTTTCTTATGCTGTAAAGTTTGTAAAATGGTAGTCCTAATAGCCTAAACAAGGGATAGTCACATAATAAATGTGAAATCACGCGTAGCTTATTCGCGTAAGACCGCTGGATACCTACGTTGTCTTTTACCCAGTCATCCCAGGATTGTAATGGTTGCTCATAAGCATGAATTGCATGAGTAATATGAAGCGCTCTTCCATAGTCTAGATAAAAACGGATTGTGAGGGCCTCATGTCGCGCAACTCTATCATAGGCAGCTACAAGATAATAACGGGCTGTCTCTAGGTTTTTTACTTCAGATAATTCACCTAAAGGATAGTGGCTTTCCTGAGAACAGTCTTCTTTTAAGTTACCAATTAAATATAGATGCAGATCATTTCCAGTAAGCTTAGACGTTGTTTGTTTATCTAATAGAGATCGAATATTTCCTTTTGGTTTTTTGGGTATTGATAAATATACGCTGGGGCCTTGTTCATCTAACTCACCAAGAAATGTTACCATTTCTTGGTGATACTTTTTATGTGCTCTTATTTTTTCTATCTTGTGCTTGCTCCATTGGTGGGTATATTGCGTTTCTTCATGGGTGTATTGCTTTTTTTCGTGGGTGTATTGTAGTTCTACGTCCATCTGGGGGTCTGTATCGTCGCTTACCGGTGTGCTTGAAGGTGGTGTGTAGAGGGTGTTGGTTGTTAGATGTTCTGTAGTCCTCTCTGCCATAATTCCTCTTGTCCGAGTTCTTCTTTTTCAGTTCTGCAAAATATATTTAAAAAAATAATAAGTTTAAGAGTAAAAACCTACTGTAGAGTTTATCACTCTCTTACTTTAAGCTAAAAATATAGTCAAAAATCAGTTTACCTTTCAACAGTTAACTTAATTTCTTGGGTCTGCTTCAAAAGCTTGAGCACGTTCTGTCGATTCCCAACATAGATTCTAAAAGGGGGTAAACCAAATCAAGAATTAAGTTTTAAAAAATGACCAGAGATCTCCCTACGGGTAGTAAACCCAATCGAACAATTTGCATAAATAATGATATTTATCGTACACCTTATTCATAAACAAACTGCTTTTAAAACCATTCAATGCAAACAAGTCTATCTAAACATAAACTATCTATCTTCATACGACTTCCAAATATAATCTAAACTTATGTTTTCACGTCGGCGCCAGTTTGATTCTTGAATCATAATTCACGTACACACACTAAATGTTAAAATAATACACAGCGATCTAAACTTACCTTTTAGCAAAGATAGAGTTGGCTCCATATTTGAAAATAAAGCCAGTGTAATGTTGATTGTCGTCACTAAACTCTGTCTTGTATGCTTCTGGCAGTGCTGTAAGGGGTATCTCACTTATATAGGAACATTGTTTGCTCTGACGTATGCACACCCATGCATTCCTAAACCATTGTTTGCTTCTGACGTATGGGATATGAGTCATATGCATGCGGCCCCAACTAACAAAAGCAATTCACGACTCATTGAATTTAAATAGGTGCAAAAGTTCAGCGTCACCCCATGGAGCAAGGAAGTGCAAGTCAAGGTTAAAGTAGAAGTCGTATTTTATTTTTTAACACAAGATCAAAAATAAAAAAAATACATCTTAAATTGGGCCCCCGGTTTTGGGCTGGGGCTGAGACTGAGATATTGGGAGGAGAGATATATTTGGATTGGGAGGGGGAGGGAGATCATTGAGAGGGGGCAAGAGGGGGTAGAGACGGGCCAGGGGGCAGAGATCATTGGGAGGGGACGGGTGGGGGGCGTGGCCAAAGGGAGAGAGAGAGGGGGCGAGATTATTGGGTTTGGTCTCGTACCCCCCATCCCCCCCTACTTCTGGATCATTCCATAACAAATCTGCAAGTTAGATGTAATTTCAATACATCTGTCTCTCACCTGTTGCTCAGTGACTGTAATTGGCAGGTTATCATAGGGAGCTACATCAGTAATATTAATTGCAGCATTGTAGGCCAACCATCGAGTAGATACATCAGCTGATGGACAGTCTGAATATCTCGTACATCTGGGGAAGAATTCAATGTTATCACATGGTGAGCATAGCTTGGTAGTCGACAGTCATCCAAAGCAAACACCAAAACGGAAAAACAGGAAAGGCCCTACTTTCTAGATTTTATTGAGAAACATCGCTAAGTCACCAATGAATTTGATGAATCGTACGAATTCCATTTACTTTTTAACATCGGACAACCATACAATGAATAAGCTCTTTGAACTCTATATTAGTCATATAAATAAAAAAAAAGTTCTTTCACTGACATAATCCACAACTAAACTTACCAGCCGTATGAACTCTCCCAATAAATTACTTCCATTTCAGGGTGCACAACGTGTAGTTTTACCTACATCATTAATGCATTAGATCTAAGACACTTCATACATGTTGCACCCCGTCTGAGTGGTGATAGACTACCGTTCTTACAACTTCTCCAACGACCCACTCACACACTTTGGAGACACCCCGTGTGACTTACCTTCGTTTCAGAGTGCACCATCCACAATATGGGTCTCCATCATTCCCTGCATCAGTCCCAATACACGTTCCGCATGTAGTGTATTGGCCACAATTCTCCTCACGAAGCTTCACCAACTAAAATGTAAAACATGTTACTTTTTTAACAATCTTAACGTTGAGAGAAAAAAGTATTTGATTTCAGCAGAAAAGTTGTTTTTTCTTCCAATCTTGAATCTGGTTTTCAGTTTACAAAGCAAAAAAGGTAATGTTTAATATGTTCATTTGACCAAACTTCTATGCTCTTAGTTGTTAAAGGCCTAAATAAAAGTATCTCATGGTTTCTATGGCTTTTCATAAATGACATAAATTTTCATAAATGACTTCTTTTCTGCAAATGCAAAGTCCACAAGTGAAGCTAACCGGAGCAGAGATAGTTAGTTTAACAGCACTCCTCCGTGGCAGGTTAGGTAGGTGCTTACCTTTTGTTCCGTCAAGAGAAGTAGTACACGTGTTGATTCATTAACCTTGACATCTTGCAGAACTGGACTGGTATCAACGCCAATACGTTCATAAAGTCGGCTGGCAGTGCTACTTTCCATATGAACCTAATGTCAATATGACATATAGGACCTAAATACATCTGTTTACACCTAGATGTACATAGTTGAAAAGTTTAACATGGATTTGTGGATATTAACATATGGTATACCCGGCATACACTGCTTGCCTTGAATGTATGCTTAAGCAGCGTCGTTCATGCAAGCCAATTTATTAAGAGACCAAAAATATAGCTTATTATTTCTCCTTTTAAAAAAATTACTAACTTTCTGGAAACAATGCATGGCGCTAAAAACTAGAGTCTCGAGTGCAAGGGGTGTAAACGAAATGGTTTGAAATAAAACTGTTGCTACACAATCCAATTTAGGCTCTACGACGACTTCAGTCACATACTTTTAAATCGATTAGGGATAATTTACCTTGAGTAGATCTCCCCTCGATGTCCCGATTAAAGCGATTGTATGGTTGAATTCTATTGTGATTATGATGGACGACATGAGAGTACCAGGCAGCTCTATAATTGCCGTGGTTGGAACGGGGGCTATGCCCTTGGCGTACTGGAATAATGGCGTTTGAATAGCATCATCGGTCAGGGGTATGCAGAAATAGCGATCCAGAATGGGAATCTTTAGCGAAAGTAAAAACAAGAAAAATGTTTAAACAGTTAAAGCAATATCGTGGTTCGGCAGTGGCAATTATTACCAAGACACATGAATCCTGGAAGTTTAAGGAGATTCGTTGATGAAATGAGTGCTTTTAATAGCGTGTTTATTGATGCATCAGCCAGGGGACTGTTGCCTTTTTTCAACCATCCTCTATGGTTTAACCTATAGTTTGCACCATTATTGCAGAAAGAAACAGTTTGAACCGTTCAGCCTTGAAATGAAGTGGAGAAGCGGGACAGAGGGCTTGGCTTTACACGACAGGTTTGCTTTGCATTTTTGGGGCAAATTTAGGGCCTACACAGAGTAGAATAGCTATGGCAAAGAAGCGCACACTGGACCTGGTCCCCATCTGGAAAGATGGACGCGTGTAACTCGAAAGCAGCACAGGAAATTCATCTTTGAATCTTATTAGAGAAATGGCAGCATCTTTCTTAATATGCTTCTGTACTCACCCCGAACGTACTGCAAAAAGAACCCTCCAAATAGTTAATAGAGTACGTATTTCCATCCTGAATACATCCCCGCACTGCCTCTCTGAAGGCAGCCAAGATATCCGTCATCCTGTACACACACAAAGCTGAGTGATCAATGGGTACATCACTGGTACCCGGAGCTCCTTGGTTCTTGGCAAACACAGTATACACCACCTGCTCGTCTGCATGGAGACCCAATGATGCCGCTAGATCAGGTCCTGCTGGTCCAAAGTGAGCTGCTTGCACCAAGCTGTACACACTGCCATCTGATCCACTGCACTGTAGGGTAATTTCTGTGTAGGCGTCTAGGTTTGGACCGCATTGACATACTCTGCTCATCTTAGTAACAAATTGGGCAGAATTCAAATCCTCCTTCTGGGATGCAACAAAGTATGTGAATCCACTGTGGGCAAATGCTGCAACATACTTGATAGAAAAGATCGTATGCTTAGCAGGGTCATTAAAAAAGATGGAATCGTCACGCTGTATCGCTGATAACAGAGAACTCTGATCATAGCGATTGATTTCAAGGGTTCTTCTTGCTATTGTTGGAAAATTCCCTTGATCATTAACATTTTCACCAGTATAAGTAACAGCCACATAAAGCATTTCTTGCCCATCTTTCCCTAGAGCAATCATACTAACAGTAGATGCGTCCTCAAACCCTGCAACGTTAGGAACCGACTCCATCATCACGTTACTAATATCCTGTAACTGTCGTAACTGACAAATACCATCATACACACCGCCACAGGTTATCAGACTGTTCGGCCGGGTACTGTCAACTACCAGTATCTTGTTGTAGTTATTTGTGAGGTGACAGGGCATCACACTATCTGGCCTGCTGTCATCACAGGTTGAAACATTCTGTATCATTTTCAAACTACTTTCCAACCTGTACAACCAATTGACAGCTCCCACATACACATCGCCATGGTCACTCAATGCAAAATGATTGAACTTTGATGCACGTCTTTGAGTTTTATCCAAAATATCAGGATTGTCAAAGCTGGCCAACTCATAGTCTGACAGGTCTCCGAGCCGCTCAGCTGATGTGGTAAAAGCATTTACGCAGATGATGCTCCAAGTCAGAGCAATTGCCCACGGGAGGGTGGAGTGTCTCCTACAAGAGTCCATGATCTTCAGTTCACGTAGGATGTTTGAGAAAAGTCTATAGTCACAGGCTGTAAAAAGAATTTAATAAAAAAATACCAAAGTTTACCATACAGTAAGGGAATCCATACAATAAATGAAAAGATTTACAGATAAAAGATTGTTCTCCTTATTCCTAAATGATTTTTTTTTCACAAACGCTGTAACTATTGGTTTTGCACAAAGTCGATTTCTCGTTTAATATGAAACGAATGTCCAGATCGGATCTTCGATTCTTCGTTCGATAACCTGAAAAATATACAAAAGGGTGAAAATAAAATACTTCTATGATTGAAAAGACAAAAAAAGATGCAAAAATAGGACTGGACTGTCAATTTCATTGTTTGTATTTGTATCTTTCCAAGAAAAAAAACACAACTTTTTCCACTTTTGTGGAGAGGAGAATGACAAAGGCAGTTGGCTGTTGCTCGTCTTTTAGAAATATTGGTTGGGAATTCACATTAATTTCTGGTTAACATGGAAGTGGATAGTTAATGTCATACTCGGTTCTCCGATTGTTCACTAACCCGGATCTACTACTGCATGGGCCTTACAAAAAAAATCAAGCTGCAACAATATTAATGGTGGATAACCATTAACAAGGGTGGCAACACCTTTAAGACTTGGATTTTGTTCGAATGGGGCTTTTGTGTTTTTTTCCCAGAAAAGTTTGCCTGTGAAATATCAAAAATCCATCAAATATAAAATGTTAAAAATAAAAAATTAAATGTCACGTGACTTTCATGAACATTTTTACAATGCTGGCTAGCACGTGAAATGTGAACCAAATATTTTAAAACAAATTACTGACTGGTTTTCTCTTGTTTTAGAGATTGAGAAGAACTCTATAATAAGATGGAATTTTTGCGTCGGGGTGAAATAAATCAAGGTTTGTTTTTCCCTTCACCGACGTTTTTAACACTGTATACTCAGTGTGTTACCTCCCGAGTCGGTGAAGAGTGTACTCCTGCTCATTCACACCGTTTAATTTCCATACCAAGTGAACATTGAACTTATGGAACCATAGAAATTCAGTTTTTCAAGGCTTCGTCATGACACGCATTGCCATCTAGCTCTGTTTCTTACTATGCTTTCAGTTATATTTTAAACCATGCCCCATAGGAAGCGCACAAAGTACCCCAGATAGTTGT